ACAACAGCGTTCCACCGCCATGAGTTTTAATTTCACAATGTTTTTATTTGACTGAGTAAACATACCTAGCAGTAAGGGAAAACATAGGGAGAGCGAGCACTGTCAGATTAATACTCCTATGCCCTCAGCTTCCAATGCTGCTCTAACAGCTCCAAGTGGCCCAACTCACATTTGTATGTATATACAATGCTTAACTTATATGATTTAATACGTGAATTTAACCTTCTATTTATGTATACGCTGAGCCTATTAAATTTAAATGTGCTAGGCGAGAGAAGCCGAGCCCATGTTTTGTTGCTCTAACCCTCTGTTTTTTTGTTTCTGTCTCTATTTAGGTAACCTTAGCTCTTGGATTTATCTGCACACTTTCAAATATTATACATATAATTAAATGCAGAATAAAATGCTCCGATGAGTGCGAGTCTTTCTATGAGAGATGAAACAGACAGCAACTGGATGGCTTCAAACAAAAGATGCGCTGGGACTCGGTGCTTCTCCCAGTTCAGCTCTCCCGTCTAGAGAATTCATATCGCTTTTTATTGGCGTGAGTCGCAATTTACAAAGCACTTAGTAGCGCCATCAGCACGCAATACAAATGCATTTCGCTTTTATTGAAGATTGGCAAAAGCTTTCATTAAAATATCTTTTTTCTTACGCATTTACAATGAATTACAATGCGGCAGAACCGCAGGCACTCACATTAAGACGACACAGGTGTGGCTCCTCAGGGAGGCGCTGTGTGCGGGGTGGCACTTAAGCCTTTGCAGAGAGCCTGCTTATTACAACGCCTTGAGTATGGGACGTGAGGAGAGAGCAGAAGCGTTTATTTAATTTACGTCTCTTAGCACTCGACGTCGCATACTTTGGTCTGTAATCATTTCCGGCATATACGAAAATTCACCTTAAACACGCAATTATTTACAAAAAAAAAGAACAAAAAAATTCCATTTAACGCTATCAGGCTGATAAGAAATAAAAATTCACATCTGCCGACGGGCAGACAACACACAGAGAGAGAGAGAGAGAGAGAGAGAGAGAGAGGCAGACAACACAGAGAAAACGTGAGACAGGTGGGCTGGAGGGCTGGGCGGGGCAGGTGTCGCTCTTTATTGCAAACAAGAATGTAACCGACTGAGAGGCACCGGCAGATGGCCCGAAAATGAAAAATCCCTCAATATGCAATTTACCATAAATTTATAATTTACTGGCAAATTATTTTCATAAGCCATTTGCATTTATATGGCCCACACACACACACCCACATACACATGCGTCTGCACTGCTGACTGTGGCAGCAAACGCCTCCGACACGACCATTAGACATCTCGCAGGAGAATGAGGGCATCGTATCAGATAATTAAATATTTATTTGAAATTACAAAATTGGAATATAAAATTTAAACTAAATACGTAAAAGAGAATACATGCACGAACTTGCATTCTCTGATTCGTACAGTCAGCTTATAGTCAGTTCCCCCTCAAGGCACTCAAATTTAAGAGCAGGGTGTAAAACTCAAAGTACAGCTCCTCCTCAGCCATATAAAATGAACAAAGCGCTTGGATTTTTGCTTCTTTGTGTTGGCGAAATTATTGCAACGCGAAAGTTGGCTTATAAAGTATAAAATTGATTTTCACGCCAGTCATTAACTTCTTGAAGTATCAGCAGGAGGTCGGCCCGATGTCTGCATTATTAATGCACTTAGTGCGTACCGCGAGGCGTGGCGGCCACGCTTAACAGACATCAACTTAATCTCATGAAATTATAAGGCGGCGCACATTGAGGCTGAATAATTTAATAATGAAATTCTTAAAAGTTTGACATTTGCAAAAGTTTGCGGATTCAATAAACATATTATTTACATTTAATATCTTGGAGCTTCTGTTCGCCTGGAGCGCATTTGTTAAATAATTTGTGATACGAAAGCCCGCATTTAATTCTTCTCATTCAAAGCAACTTTATCAAACAATTTTATTGAATTCCCCAAGGGCTGAATTAAAGGCACTGTGGATAAAAAAAAACAATGTGAATTTCTGTGTAAAATATTATTATTGAATTAAGCAAACTAAATTTAGTTTGTGTAACATTTGCAAAATGTAAATTCGCAAAAATTCGCTAGAGACATGAACTATTTCGAATGTGAGCTGCTAAAAATTCTGCACGACTAAGAGATACCCTTAGCATAATGCATAGCTGTTAACTACTCACATTCACATTTACACACACACACACTTACAAAACATGTATATGCTTTTGTTACGATTCAAACCTGAATGCCTCTTGTATGGGAAGTTGGACTCAGTTTGGTCGTGTCTTGGGATCTGCCTCTTGCATACATCTTAGCAAAACTAATATACTCTGGATTCGCAGTTTCAATGTGTTCAGGGTATAAAATCGTATGGACAATGTTTCTCATTAAAAATATTTAAGTATATTTTGTGCGCATTTGCCAAATATATAAATTACAATATTTTTCACATGTTAAATCAGTATATCTATATGCAGTAATATTTGCTAAGCTACTAATGAACATATACATACAAATATAAATAGAATACAAATTGAAACTGTAACCTTTTTACGTATTTAAATTTATGTGTAGCTGGAAAGAG